TGTACCACTGCTCTGCACCGCACTGAGTACATTGTACCACTGCTCTGACAGTGAATGTACTTACTGGGTGCAAGAGGGTAAATGTTTTATGTTGAAATGTAACTAAAAGTTATTTTGTTCCTTTAAATAATTTTAAGACTCATTTGATCAAATTACAGGTGCGTCTAAAGAAAAATGAGTATCTTCAAAAAAGTAATTTAGTCATTTCAAAAAGTTAAACTCATTTATTACATAGCTCCATCACATAGTGAAATATTTCAAGCCTTTATTTCTTATAATTTTGATGATTATAACTTGGAGTTAATGAAAAACTAAAATTAGAATCTTCCACAGCCAGCTGCTGTTGTCGGTGTGTGTCGGTGTCGAGTCCTGCTGGAACATGAAACCAGCATCTCCATGAACTCGTCAGCAGATGGAAGCATGAAGTCTCTAAAATGTCCTGCTAGGTGCTGCGTGGACTGTGGACTTAAGAAACCCAGTGGACCAGCACCAGCAGAGGACATGGACCCAAACCATCACTGACTGTGGAAACTTCACTCTGGACTTGAACAACGTGGATTCTGGACCACCTCTTTTCCTCCAGACTTCGAGACCTTGATTTACAGAACTTTAATGTGAAAATAGGACGTTGGACCACTGAGAGACAGTCCAGGTCTTTGTCTCCTCAGCAGGTAAGACGCTTCTGATGTTGTCTCGGCTGGACTTGAGGAACGAGACATTTTTAGCTCATGTCCAGGAGTTCATCAGCTGAGACACCAGGAGTTTACAATATTCAACCTCTTCACAATATTCTCATTTTCTGAGGCTCTGAGTTTTGGTTTTTCATTATTTTTAAAATGATCAAAATTACAAGAAATGAAGGCTTGAAATATTTCACTGTGTGATGGATCTATGTAATAAATGAGTTTCTCGTTCTGAAATAATTAACCAAACTAATTAAACTTTTTCACGACATCCATCGTTTTGAGATGCACCTGTACCTGCAGAGGTTAAGGTCTGGCACCGGTCTCTTGGTCCACCCAGATGTGCTTGGGCTTGTGTTATTGTTGGTTGAACCGTCTCGTTGGGTTTTATCAGAATTTCTTTCAGATCCCACTCTGGGACTGTTGTTGGAGGTGAACCGATTGTTCTGCAGGTCGAACATCTTGTGCAATGCAGCCCACAGAGTCATGTGACGCAGCTGCAGAACGTGCATCGTATCAGTTGGCATCAACAGTTCTGTAAAAACCCAAAGGCTTGCCGGGTACGTGGAGGTCAGCAGAACGTTTTCATTGGCTCATGCTGAGGTTGAGCCCACAGGCTTGTTTTTTAAAGAGCGCCAGGTTCTCCACATCTGCTCTGCAGGAAATGTTGAGCACCTCCAGCACAACCGGTACGTTTTACTTTACTAAATTATTATAGAAGCAGGAAACGTTTCAGACCAGCTACACCTGCACTCTTACTAATGTTGGGAGCAAACTTTAAAGTTTAATTTCTGTACTAAAGTGGACGATCAACTCTACGATTTAAATATTTCTGAAATGTATAAATGTTCATTTACCATTAATATATATATATTGTTCTCGAGCACCTGAGAAACCAATGATTAAATCCTCACATTTAGACTCGCCGCAGCTGATTTAAATGTTTACATTTAGTTGTTACATCCACACAGTGAAGTGGTGAATTTGTCATCACAAATCTGAGCCCACGATTCACTCATTCACGAGATTTTCTTTTTATTCGTCAGCTGCCGGAGACAACTCTGAAACTGTGAACTGAGATGACTGCTGTCCCTGTTGCTCTAGAAGGAAACGTATAAACATAAATCTTTGCAGATTTTTCACTTGTCCTCCAAAAACTACACATTAGGCAAAACTTCAAGTGTGCCGCAGCGAAAAGTGAAACGATGAACTAAAATCTGCTCCGACCGGAGATGATATTTGTTTAAAAACTGCCTCGCAGTCATAAAGTGGCAACGAGCCGACGCGACGAGTAAAAACTGAAACGTGTAACAGCTGCCCACTCAGACCGAGCGCCGAGTCGCCGGAAGATATTCTCACTTTCAGCTTGTTAAAGTGCCGCTTCCTCATATCGTGGCCTTAAATTCAGTTTTACTGTCAGGTCTGCAGAAATCTAGTGAAGCGGACCTTTGGTTTAGTTTTTGGTGGTTTTGCATTCCTTAAGATCCCTAAAACTTAAAGCGTACACCGGATGATATTTTTGCAACAAACCTATAAAGCCACAGCAATTTACTCATTCTAGAAAACAAAGCAAAATATAAAGAGTTTAAATGCTTTAAAAACAGAAATAAACAATTTATATACACACCGGCGTCTATTAGTTATTAAAATACAAAGTTTTTTTTTTAATAATTTGCTTTTTAAAGTTGATATTTTTAATTTAAAGTGATGACAAGCTGCAAAACAAACACTTCATTGTCCCCACAGGATATTTATTAGTGAACACATGACTAATGAATTAGCTGAATAAGCTGCTTTTTTTTGTTACCTTTTTCTTTTAGCCATCCTATTTGTTATAAAAAAAATAAAAAATAAAAAAACTGTAGTATGACTTTTTATAACTGTTTATTCTTGTCCATTGTTGTCATCTTTCTTTGTTAAATCAGGTCTCTCTTGTAAATGAGTCCTCGAGGCTCAATGGGATTTACCTGAATTAATAAAGGTTGAATGAACTAATGAATTAAAAAAGTGTATTTTAAAAGTAAATTAAGTTCATATTCAAATAACTTTTAATAATTAAAAAAAAAAGTTGTACAATTAACGCAATTAAAGAGATGTAGTTATGTACGAACAGTGCAGCTTTTTAAAATGTACTGACTTTCATTTAGTAAAAACATATTTTGCGTGTTTGGGTTTTTAGTTTGTAGGTGTGAGTTGAGAGAATATCGGATGTTTCCAGTACGAGCGCGAACTGAGAACTTACTGATATCTAGAAATCATCAGAGGTAGATAAGACTGAGTCAGAGCAGGAGAGGAGGGAGATCATGCAACCCTTCAGTATTTTTATCAGAGCAACAAAAAACAACAACAAAATGTACAATAAAGCAGCTTTTCAGTAAATGTCAGCGGGCCAGGAATACAGCCTTGTTGAACTCCTTTGATCGATAGATTTATAGTTACCCATCGTTATCTGATGCAGTTGGGTGTTTTACTGTTTTTATATTTGAGAATAAAGGATCAATAACCAAACAGTTTTAACTATTGAAGCTTCATAATTCTGTTTGAAGTTAATTTTTATTAGAAAACCCTCAAGTCAAATTGTTTCCATTTTCTCGCCTTGAACCCTAATCACAAACAAGTGTTTTTAATCGTGTCAGCGCTGAGTCAGCATTTTTTGCTGTTTTCCTGTTGTTGTTTTTTTTTTTTTTAGGTTTTCGTGGCACTTTTACTCAGCACACTCCATTTTAGCCTTTTTAATTTCAAAATATTCAGCTTGATCGGTGCTAGGGCGCTAAATTGTTTACCCTCATTTACAAAAGAATCCTCTTTAAAATACATCGATGGCCCGTGTTTGAAATTGAAACCCACTCCACCATATTCAAAAGGCGTTCAATACAAAAACAACTGGACTTTATTTGTAACAGAAGACGTTTCGCTCCTCATCCGAGGAGCTGTTTTTGTATTGAACGCCTTTTGAATTCATCATGTCCTGCATGACTGAGAATCTTCACCAGCACACTCAACCATATCGTTACTGATTCTACTGATAATGCTAATTCGGCTGTTGCTAATTCCGTTTGCTGGTTTTAGCTGCTATTGCCACATTTTGCTTTTAGTTTCAGCTGAAGAACATTCAGAACTGAATTCAACAACAAAAGGAGCACTGGTTTATATTTTACCTGGAAGACCACCTCAAACTAAATTCATCTTCTAGTCCAATAAAGAGAAACTCTAAATTGCACTTGGCCTCACGTTTTGTTGGTGTTCCCCCTGAATCCCTGCCAAAAGATTTTCCTCTTACCTTTCAGGAAAACTGAGCCGTGGCCCAGTCGCTACATAAACTGAAGCATTAAAGAAGCGTTGTCACCGCAGCAGCAGCCTGGCTGGCGGCAGTGATGAAACCTGAAATGATCAGGGTGATTGTGAAACGTCTTTAAAGGCTGTTAGCACGCGACACTGACTGATCTGTGGCCCTTCAGGCTGCCCACGGTTTCCCCGTGCCAACGACATGATGCCAGTGTCACGCAACCCGCTGCAGCGTGACTAAGATACCACAGCTGCTTACTCAAACCGAGGAGCCGAGCGGCAGGTCCGACTTTCAAGCTGCTCCTGTTTCCTCAGGGCTCGTCAGAAGGGGAAGCACTCTGCTCACAATGAACCTCAACTTCATGTAAATAAGAGCTTTGTACAAAAAACAGTCGTCACGCAACGTGTCGCCTCCGGCGTTTAGCAGAAACAAAAAAAACTTCTCACTTTTAAAACACTTTGTTCTGCTGCTCGCTGACTCACATCCAGGACTTAAATTAAAACTTTGTTTTTCTTTGGACTGATCGACTTTATTTGCACTGGATCATGTGAAAAACAATCAATGTACGCATATTTTGCAATTTTAGCCGTTCACTTTCAGCTCATTTAAGAGATGGCTGCTGTGACTTTAGATTTTTTTAAACCTTTTTTTTTTATTCAAAATATTAAACTTTAAATTTTAACAAACATTTTCTCGTGAAATACACAGAACATTGTTCTCTTTGAAATGTGCTTCAACGAACAGGTTCTGTTTTTGTCTTCTGCTACTTTTAGCTTTTAGCTGCTCTTTGATACTTTAGCTGGTTTTTACTGCCTTTAGGTTTTAGCTAGTCTCACTTTAACTTTAGCTTCCCTTTTGCCGCTTTAGCTTTCAGCTTACTTATTGCTGCCTTAGTGTTAGCCTTCTGATAATTTTAGTTGGGTTTTACTGCTTTTAGCTAGCCTTCTGCTACTTTAGCTTTTAGCCTGCTTTTTGGAACTTCAGCAAGCATTTAGCTGTTTTAATTGAAAGCCACTTTTGGCTTAACTACTGGTAGTCCATCCCATTCAAGATGGCCACCGCAGCCAAGCAACTTTAGAAAACACAAAAACGGCTTCCACTCAGTAGATATTGAGCTAAACTTTAGTTTGGTAGTAACGGAGGCAAACCCAACACACACACTCTGTCAACTCTGTTAGGAAAATATTTCCGTGACCACTGGATGAATTTTAACCTACAACTGTTTGGAACCAGCCCAATTCAAGATGGCCGTCACTGCTAACTGACATTAGCAGACATGAAAATGGCTTCTCTCTCGTGGGTTTTCTAGATCCCCACGATGCTCTGAGCGCTGACGCACGTGGCAGAAACCTCACCATGAAATCACAGAAGGTCATTTACCAGGTTTGGCGTAAGCGACTATAACTCCGCCCCTTTTTCAGGATACGACGATTTTAGGTTGAAACTGTGGCGTGAATCTGAGGATATAAACTTCTAAATTGAATTCCTAATACAAGTCACGGCTCGATTTATTCATGGTGTAGTTTTAAAAACGTCATTAGAAGACAAATGTTAGCCTGTTGGTGTTTCTTTGATCTTTGCACGAGTGATTTATGAAAACGATCTTTCTCCCAGCAGCCATGGCCTCCAACACCTCCGACGATTATTTGAGCTACTCTGCGTACGATGGTTTGGGCTGTAACGGCACTAACTGCTCGGATGAAGACGACTCTGGCTGGTGTGAGGCTGACGAGCAGCAGGAACGCATCATCCGAATGTTCCAGACGTGCGCGTTCTGTCTGATCTTTCTGCTGGGCATCATGGGCAACGGCCTGGTGATCGCCACCTTCGTCCTCTATCGCCGCCTGCGGCTCCGCTCGATGACCGACGTCTTCCTGTTCCACCTGGCGCTGGCGGACCTGCTCCTGCTCCTCACGCTGCCCCTGCAGGCCACCGACACGCACCTGGGTTGGATCTTCCCTGACTTCCTGTGCAGAGCCACACGCGCGTGCTACGCCATCAACACTTACAGTGGGCTGCTGCTGCTAGCCTGCATTAGCATCGACCGCTACATGGTGGTGGCACGAGCTCAGGAGATGCTGCGGCTGCGCAGTCGGATTCTAACGGCAGGGAAGGTTGCAGCTGTTGGGGTCTGGATTGTTGCGGTTCTCCTTAGCCTGCCTGAAATCCTCTTCTCAGGGGTTTCATGGTCCGGTCTCCAGTATTACTGCGGCATGCAGAAGAGTGGTCAAGTCAAGATGGCCACCAATGGAGCCATCATTGCTGTCTTCTGCGTGTCCCTCTCCATCATGGTGTCGTGCTACACCTCCATCGGTTGGGTCCTGTGGGAGGGGCACGTAAACCGCCGAGGGAAACTGTGGCATCGTCAGCGTACGCTGAAGTTAATGGTAGCTCTGGTGTTGGTGTTTCTGATCTTCCAGCTGCCGTACACCGTGGTGCTGTCTCTCAAACTAGCGGGCCAGTTCTGCGAGCTGTTGTTGGAGTACGTGACCTGCACCCTGGCGTACACCCGCTGCTGCCTCAACCCCATCCTCTACGCCCTGGTCGGCGTGCGCTTCCGTAAGGACGTGATGCAGCTCCTGCACGATTGTGGCTGCCCGTGTGGGTTCCACTTCACGCTGCAGACGGTGAGCTCCACGTCCATCTCCGCCACCTCTCCTGCCCTCACCGTGCTCTCAGCCTGCCCGCCGACCTCACCGGATCGCAGCAACTCCAGCAGCGACGCAACGTCGCCCCTCAAGTTCCAGTTTCCAGCTCACAAATAATAATACTTTATTTATAAAGCTCTTTAAAACAGCTGCAGCAAAGTGCTGTACATATAAAATCAAGAAAATTTAAACATGTAAAACAGTTGTTAAAACATTAACATCAATAAAAACAGTAAAAACAGTAAAAACAATAAAAACAGTGCAGAGTAAATTCAGTGTGTGATAAAATCCAGGGAGTAAAAATGTGTTTTTAAAAGAGTTAAAACTGGACAGTGAAGGGGCTCGTCTGATGAGAAGAGGGAGATCATTCCACAGTCTTGGAGCAGCAACAGAAAAAGCTCTGTCCCCTCTGAGCCTCCGCTTAGACCTCGGCACCTCCAGGAGCAGCTGATCAGCTGATCTGAGGCACCGAGCAGGAGAGTATGGATGAAGCAGCTCAGAGAGGTAGGATGGAGCAAGACCATTTAAACTTTTAAAAACAAATAAAAGAATCTTAAAATGAACAGGCAGCCAGTGTAGTGAAGCCAGAGTGGGGGTGATGTGCTCCCTCTCTTGAACTCCAGTTAGAAGCCGAGCAGCAGCGTTCTGGACCAACAGGAGGCATCTGAGGGAGGACTGGCTGACTCCAAGGTAAAGAGCGTTACAGTAATCCAGGTGAGAGGTGACGAAGGCATGGATTACTGTTTCCAGCTGCTGCTGTGAGGATGGGCTTTACCTTAGCCAGCTGTCTGAGGTGATAAAAACTGGTCTTGACCACCGCTCCAATCTGGGAATGTAATTTAAAATCGCTGTCCATTTTAAAACCCACGTTAGAAACGGTTTTCTTTACATGTGGTGCCAGAGGGCCCAGATCAACAGGGCACGATTCACAAGAGCCACTAGGACCAAACACCATCACTTCTGTTTTCTGTTCATTGAAATTTAAAAAGTTTTAAAGACATCCAGGCCTTGATGTCTTCAAGACACAACAGAAGTGGCCTAATTGAGAATGCATCTTTCTTTTTTAGTGGCATGTAGATCTGACTATCATCTGCATATCATTGGAAAAAAAGATCCCATTCTTTCTGAGGATTGATCCCAAAGGAAATGGGTAAATGGAGAAAAGCAGGGGACCTAAAATAGAACCCTGTGGATCCCCAAAACAAGAGAGAAGCAGTGGAGGATTCAGAATCAGCTATGATGACACACATGGTTCCATTTGCCAGATGGGACCTAAACCAGCTCAGTGCAGTACCACAGAGACCCACTTGGTGCTGTAAGCACGATGGTAAAATGTTGTGATCCACGGTGTCAAAGGCAGCGGTTGGGTCGAGCAGGACAAGAACCACATGTTCACCAGAATCACTGGCTGTAAGAATATCGTTAAAAACTCTTGACCAGAGCTGATTCTGTGCTCGGGTGAGTTTTGAAGCCAGACTGGAAAACCTCCAGGATGTTGTGCTCATCCAAGAAACATTTCTCTGAGCCCCGAGAAGTGAGAAGCAGCCGCTGGGCGACACGTCGGTGAATATGAAGAACCCTCGCACTGAAACGCCACAGGAGCTGAGAGGGAAAGTCTCAGGTTCTGTTCAGGGTTCTGTTCAGTTTGATGTGAAGGTTCGGCTGATTAAAGCCTCCTGGTGTCCACATGACCGAGGGAGCAGTTTTTATCAGGCTCCAGATCTTTGCCATGTTTTCTTGCCGATGGTTTCCAAAGTCCTGGACGAGGTTCCTGATGGACTTGGACTTGGACACGTTTGGCTCTGAAGACACGAGCAGTGTTCAGTTTTTACTGGTTCTGAACTGTCGTGTATAAAAATGAATCGACTCCAGTTTATTTAAAGGCCCAAAGTTTTTTTTACTCAAGAATCTGCAAAGTTTAAAAAGATTTAATGAATTTTGAAGTTTAACTTTTGTGCATTTCATGTAACTTTAATATTTGTCTTAAATTGTTAATTTTCTTTCAGTCTAAATGCTTGTTTGTATAAATCCCCTTTTATTTTGAAATGTTTAATACAAATAAAGAATCTTATTTTACCAGAGTCACAGTGGTGGTAGTTCTTTGGGTTGTACAAATATTTGATAGATGTACTTTGTACTCTGAAAGGCAAAAAGTACAAGTCATTTTGTAAAATTTAATTTTTACTGCATCTGACCATGTTTTAGTCTGTGTCCCTGCACCTGTTTGTTAGTAAAATATCTCATGAACTACAGGACAGACTTCATGAAAACTCAGATTAATCGTGGAAGCTCTTAAAGATGGCGGGTGATATGCATTCCTTCAAGGATCTCGACTGTTTTAAATTTGATTCATCAAAATATGGGTCAGATTTCTCTTTTTGACTGAAAGAGCTGCAGCGTCTCGTCCACGTCCTTCTGAAGAAAGCAGCCGCTGATCATCCAAACCAGACGGACGGACGTCTTTTCATCGTGGAACAGAAAACCACTGAAATGTTTCCACTAAAGAGGAGGACGACTTTAAAACGCAACACATTCCACCATCATCATTGAAGGTTTTACTTCATGACAAATGGACCCGTCAGCCCGATTAAAGACAAAATCCAGTCCATGTCCACGTCTCCGAGGGACAATGTTTGTAGTTTTAGAAATAAAGTGTTTTTTCTGGACTGGAACTGAACAGAATGAAGTAAAACCTAAATGTTTTTAGTGCGAGGAGTTCCACTGGAACAGAGGGACGTTTGATTTATGTTTGTCTGAGGCAGCGACGGAGACATTTATCACCACCAGCTGCAAACGAGGGGCTGGGGGGTCGTCCCCATCACAGGGACACCCGGACACGTCTCCAGTCCATCACAGGGACACCCGGACATGTCTCCAGTCCATCACAGGGACACCCGGACACGTCTCCAGTCCATCA